GTGGGGACTCTTGCAGTGTGGTAGTCTGCTTACTTAGCCTCTGCTCTCAGTGCCCCTTGCACAGAATGTTCACTATGTGTTTGAATAATTAAGTGAATGAAAGAGGGGGCCAACTGAGTTTAATGAGTATATAACCTCCCCATTTATGTATAGAGACAAATGGTTTTGTTTAAGTAAGTTAACCAAGTCCTATGCAACCATATTTACTTTATTAGTTAGTATTCATAGTGCAAGGATACATTTGCCTTTAGTCCTGGTTAAAATGACTGCATTTCAAGGGACTTTGTACTACTGTGCTTTTCTGTAAGACTAAAAATCTTACTAGCATCGTCACTGAAATTAAGGATCCAGTTGGAAAGTTTGTTAGTAGCAGTAATTATTATTTCTTTGAATAAAAAATATTTTTCTGTTGCATTGCTCAGAAAAATTCAATTTATATTTTTGACTGGCAACTATTTATAATTTTTAGGTAGGAATTCTGGATTGGTGGCATCTGCCACTGCTTTGGGTCCCACGGCTGCCTCATTTGTTTTCTGTGTGTTCCCAAGACGGCGTCACAAAGTAAAGTTTATTCACCTTCAGGAATTAATATTGCTACAGGCTTGATTTGAGTCTCCAGTCTCTTTTTTTTTTTTTTCTCATGAGTGGACATAATACCTAAAACATTTTGATAATTGAACATAGCTCTTTGAATTGAGCTATGTTTTTAGGTGGAACTACTTTCTTATGTGAGAATAATAGATGACAGCGATTATTTGTAATGTTAAAAATGATAATCCTGATGGTTTTGGAGCCTCTGTAGTAAAAGAACCCTTTGAGGTTGGGGGTGAGTTTTTATATTCTTAAAGTGACAAAAATTGCCACGTAGTGAATGCTGCTTAAGTCTTTTTTCATTATATATGTGTATATATGTGTATATACATATATACATTTTGACAGAAATTCAGCATTTTTTTAAACTACATACAGAGCTGAATTTAAGTTATGCAGGACAAGACAATATTTTGTCATGACACTTAGTAAATAGACTTGGAGATAATTATAAAACAAACAACTTTTAAAAATCTATTAGAGAAATCGTGCAGGTGCATTGTATCAGCAACAGAAAATATAAAACAAAAATGAGAAAAATATATATTCCCACCACTTAGAGATGATTACTTTTAGTACCTTAGTTTGTAATTTTTTTGTCTACATATATGCAGGTGGGTATATATGCATTCTTATGTCTATATGGCATAATGGTGTGTATTCTCTCTTGAAACCTTTTTTTTTTTTAGTCAGTAATGTCTGTTCTTCCATTTCAGTAAATTTTCGTCTCATATAATGCCCAGATCATATTCAAATATCTCTGGTTGGCTCAAAAATGACCCCTATGGCTGGTTTATTTAGAACAATATCCAGAATAGCATTGTACCTTTGAACTTGGCTCTTAGAACCCTTAAGTCTTCTTAAATCAAGGATAGCTACCCATCCCTCCTCTCCTTGCCTTTTAAAAAGACATTTGAGCAGAGACTGGGTCAGGTGCTTCAGACCTTTTGAATTTGTCCAGTTTATTCTCATGTCATTTAGCTTGTTTTTCTATCTCTTGTATTTACTGTAAATTAAAACATATCTAAATAGTTGGTGGATTCTCAGGTTGAAGATACCTTGGCTATCATAGATGATGCTATGTCCTTCATATTGTATCACATCGGAAGTTATAGGATCTCTACTTAACTTTCTTGGTGATGCTTAGATTGACCACTGAAATTGGGTGGTGGCGCTCTTTTCTGCCCGCTGTTCAATTATATTGGTTTTCTTACATCAGAAAGTATTTTGTCTGGTGTTACTTTGGCTCTCTAAGAAAGTTCAGTTCTTCATCATTCACTCACCTGTTGGTTTAGAACCAGTTGTTGATCCTTGCTTAAATCAATAAATGTATTAGGGTTTGCAAAATATGATTTTTAAAGTTCTGTTCTTTTGTGTTTATTAACTGATGTTTTTCTTTTTCTTTTTTTTTTTTCAAGATTTATGTATTTATTTATTTGTCAGAGAGAGAGAGAGAGAGAGAGAGAGAGAGAGAGCACAGGCAGGGGGAGCAGTAGAGGGAGAGGGAGAAACAGGCTCCTCACCGAGCAAGGAGCCCGATGTGGGACTCGATCCCAGGACCCCGGGATCACGACCTGAGCCAAAGGCAGACGCTTAACGACTGAGCCACCCAGGTGTCCCTAACTGTTGTTTTTCTGTAAAGTAGATCTTTACTGTATGAAATGGGGCTATTTGGTTGCCCTGAAATACAGAACCTTCAGAAAAGTAGCATTAAATACTTAATTTCCCCCTTTACCTACTTTCAAAGTAAAGAAAGAACTATTCTAATAGCCACTTCAAAAGGTGATAAATGAAAAATATTTTGTTCTTTTTTTCTTTTGAATGTCTTTATATAGACTCAAGGGTTTTGATTTCATTTAGGGTGTTTTAATTTACTACCATTTATATTTTTTCTTTGATACTCAGATTGTTAACAACTTTAGGCCCTGGGATGTCCTTCATTTTAGCTCCTGTATCTGTCTGATAAAGACCATTAATCTCTGAATACCTTCCTCGTCTTCTGGCACAGAAAGATATCCCAGACTCATCTTGTACCTTCCTGCCCCAGACCTGGCACCAACTGTTGTCCTAAGGGGTTAAGTACCTTTTAATGTATTACATATTAGAGATGAAATCTGGGTCCATCCCGGGATTGTTTGCTGCTAAGATTGATATGCTTCTAGGCCATTTCAGTGAAAAGACCTAGAGAACATAGATTTTTATAAGCATGAGTTCATATTGATATTTTTAATTAATGTTTTTACTTGATTTCTTGATTTTATACCTGTAATCATGAATCTTAAAATCATTGGTAAAATTTTATTTTTTTTCTACAATATAAAGAAAAAAGCTTGAGGATATCAATACTGATATTAGTAAAAATGAACTCTCAGAAGTTTAAAATTTCTTTGTAGTACTTTTTTCTTTTTTTTAAAGATTTTATTTATTTGGAAGCGTGAGTGAGCGTGAGGGAGAGCACAAGTAGGGGGAGGGGAAGAAGCGGACTTCCCTGCTGAGCAGGGGGGAGCCCAGTACAGGGCTAGATCTCAGGTCCCTGGGATTGTGACCTGAGCTGAAGGTAGATGCGGGACCAACGGAGCCATCCAGGCGCCCCTCTTTGTAGTTCTTTTTGTTCTTAGAGTGCTTCCTACCAAGAAGTACAGTAAACTGCAATGTCCACATAACCCCAGGGAAATAAACCCTATTTCCTGGTTATCAATTTGATAATTAATTGGGTTTATTTGTTTGTTGCTGTTTTTAGTGTATGTTTCTCCCCTTTGCCACCCCTTCTCTATTTAGCAAACATTTTTATTAGTTTCTCAGTTATCATTTATGTGTGTGTGTGTGTGTGCAAATGCACGTGTGTTGAGAAGTTCAAATTCAAGCAAATGTATGTGTAAATGTTATTTATTTTATCCAAAAAGAAAATATTTTTTATACAAAAGGTAGCAGCATACTGTATATGCTGTTGTGTGTGGTCTATTTTTTTTATTAGATATTTTTATTTTTTAAATTTTATTAGAGAGAGATCAAGACTGAGAGAGAGAAAGCATGAGCAGGGCAGAGGGAGAAGGAGAAGCAGACTCCCCACTGAGCAGGGAGCCTGACGCGGGGCTCAATCCCAGGACCCTGGGATCATGACTTGAACCAAAGGCCAAGGCAGTTTGTTAAGACTGAGCCACCCAGGCACCCCTGTGGTTTTTTTTTTTTTCCTTAAAATATTTTTAGGTCTGTCCAATCAGTGTGTGGTAAAACTATGGATAAAACCATTTTAAAAAAATAATTCTAAAATAAAAGCTTTTAGTAACTTGATAATTATTTTTGGATTGAAAATAATACTGAAATCAACTCAGTAATGTGAAAGCAGCAGAAAGTGAAGAAAAAAGATCTAGAAAAAGGCACTGGATATGGGGAATTTTGGATTGTACTTGAAGAACGAATGGTGTCCAGGAGTACGCAGGCAGAGAACTTCAGGGATGGTGTTGAAGGGAGGCTTGAGGCAGATTAGCTTGGCTGTTTTTGGAAGGTCCATGTCAGAAAAATCATGAGATTAGAGAAAGGAATAATGGCGCTTAAGAAGAAATGAGCACTGCCATGGTCGACAAATGCATAGAAATGTAGATTGGTTGGTGGTTTTTTTGTGTGGTTGGTTTTTTTTTTTTTTTTTTTTTTTTTTAGTTTGGTACAGATTCTTCTGGAGCACAGAAGTTTGTTTTTATGCCAACTATAGTGTGTAACATAAGTGAATAGAATGGCATGCTATATGTTGACCACCTTGATGGTAAATGAGAATAAGTTTCTACCTAAGTTCAGTATTACCAAGTCACAAATACCAAGGACTTGGAAGAGATCACTGTGGTTGTCTCAGCCTAATTGTGTGGAATAGGAAATTGAAGCCTGAAAAGGTTAAGTCACGTGTCCAAATTATACAACTGGATGGAGGCATAGCCAGGTCTTAAATCTGGCTTCCTAACTGTTGATTGTTATCTACTTTTCTCTGTGCTGTGGTGCCTTTTGTAACCATGAGAAATGAGAAGTTGTGGAGCTGTTTTTGTTTTTATTTTGATACTTGGTTTTTGTCCCAGGGTAACTTCAGTTCTGATTTATAAAGTCTGTGGTTTTTGTCTTTCATGTATACATGCCTAAATACTGTAAACGTGGAAGCTACTTTTTTCCTTAAGGGCCCTTTTAATGTACTAGGTAGAGAGATTTGAAAATTATTTTGCCGTATAATTATTTTGAGGACTTATTTTGGAATTAATGTATTTACCTGTGTTTCTTAATTACACATGATAGTTATAAAAAATACATTTGACAACCTTTTACTAGCATAGGTATAGTAATTTTTATAATCAGCTGATGTTTTACAACACATACATGTAGTTTGCATTGTTGTATATTTCAGATATTTCCTTAACTTAAGTACTCAGATATTTATCCCAACATTATTGCTATGGGGTTTCCTGCAGAAAGACTTGAAGGCGTATACAGGAACAATATTGATGATGTAGTAAGGTAAGAACTCTTAATCTTCTGTTTCAAATATTGATGTATTCATGCTGTATTTTCATTTAGAGAAGACTTCTAAATCTTAGAAAATGATGTGCTTTGTGATGTAAACTTTATTTTTATTATGTTGGTGCTCTATAACTGCTTTTTGTTTGTTTAATGGACCTCAGTGGGATACAACTCATTTGATAAGAAATAACCTTTGACATGATCAGGTGTATGTGATAGGATATCATGGACTCCTTTTAATGCTTCTTACCAAGTTAATTCCCGGATTCCGTTACACTATGGTTTTTGTCTTTTATTTCACAATTGGGGATTAGGTTTAGATCCTCAAGTGGATTCATTCACTTAAATTTATTCATCCAAAGGTAGAGATAACTGATAACCATCTATTTTTTACATAGAACAGTTTATAATGGGGCATAAGTATACTAAGCATTTGAAGAGGTATTTGGTACCCCAGGATCTGGACAGAAATCACTAGGCAAACCAAAGCCTGACTTTGTCTCTTTTATAAACTTGCATAATTTTCTAAGTGTAATTATTATTCAGCTCAAAACTGTATTTCTCAAGGCTGATTTAAATAATTTTAATACATGTATATAACCTAAGAGTGCATGATATATTTTATGAGAGAAGGAATTTGTGTCTGTTGTATAGTCTTAATATATTTTCTCATTTCAAAGCAAAAATATATATGTATGAAAAATTAACTATAAACATCAGTATAAAATTTAATGGCTTTTAAAGTTTAAAATTTTGGATTATTTCCTTTATCCTCTTACAGAAATCTCTTTCTTGGAGACTTTGAATTTAAATATTTGATGAGAATTAATATTATCATGAGTGGGAGGGCACTTTGTAAACCATTATGCAGATGTAGAATCCTTTCATAATAGTTGTCTAAGTATGAGCCTATCTGTGTCCTTATATGAGCTTAGCCATAAGTTGTTTTTCTAAGTGGTTAACTTTTAGCAATTTGCCTTGAACCGATGTATATATTTACATTTTGCAGTATTGAGTTGTGTCCAGTTGGACTGTTGTAGTGTTTATATTCTGTTCAGAATTATTAAATCAGTATCAGTATCTACAAAAAATACAGAGAAACCAAACTGCTTCTTTATAGTTTCTATTACAATTATAGATATATGGAGCTGTCAGAAGTACTATTTAAGAACTTGAAAATAGGGAAATAAATGTGTCTTCTCATGGTTGGGCAGGACACAGTTGGAAGGATATGTAACATCACAGATCCATGAGAGCAACAGCTTGATACGGCTTAGTCAGTGATAATACACATCTACAGAAAATGCAGTGGGTGATGGAAAACAGAATGACGGGTGTAAATTTTGCATCGAGAGAGATGGAGAATCTGGAAAATGAGCAGTGCAGTCACCAGACATGTCTTCTCTCCTGTAGTGCAGGAGTGTTTATTGAGCCTCCTTGTGACCTAGATGAAATATCTTCAGGTTGATCTGTTTTATATTACTACTGTATAATTCTGTATTCAACCAAGTACTAATTCAACCAAATCAGATTAATACTCATGTGGAAAAAGAGTATGAATACTCTGGGTAGAGGACAGGTTTCTGGTCACTGTAAGGGCCTCCTTGTGGTAAGTTTACCTGGGGTGCTAGTTTTGTATTGCTGCTTCTCTTTGCTCTCGTCCGACTGTGAATAAGTCACTGAAGCTGACTGATCATCTTAAGTTACTGATAAAGTTTGGTTTCTGGATCTACACATTTCATTTTCAGACCTTAGATTGTAATAATTTCACCAAGAAAACACTGTGCTGCGAGTGTTTTGATCTTTTATCTTCTGACTTTGTAACTCCCACCTTTATGCCACTGAATTAAGATTCACACATTTAATTTGTAATCAGTAACCAAGGTTGAAGTTTTTTATCTGCTTTAGTGTATCTAGTTTATTTTATCTAGCTTTTGTCTTTTTCAAATCTGTTATTCCTTAAAAGAGATTTATGTGTATGGTTGGTTATTTAGCCAACAGTTGCTTTAGCCAACTGATCTTGTCACCCCTATGGTAATGGCAATGGTAGTAGCATGTAAATAATGAAGAATAGCTGTGTGGTGCCTGGTTTGTCTTGCCCTCCCCCGTTTTTTGACTGGGAAGATATAAGGCTTAGGGAGGCTTTTGTTTGCTGCAGTTGCTAACTCTACTCCGCTGCTTTTATGAGAAAAAGGACGAACAGTGACCGGGAAGTTAGCTGTAGCTTTGCCTGTGAGGATTAACCTCTCCAAGGGATTGGCTGTCTCTCTCGTACCTAAATGATTGATTTCCGTGATTGGTTCCCACAATATTGGAGACAGTCGTAATTAGTCAGTAGTGATTCCTGAAAGTGTGTCTTTATTTTCTTACAAGTTTTCTCTTAAATGTATTTCCATTTGGATTTTCCTTTGCCCTATTGGGATATCTAAAGAATATTTAAAATTATCTTTTCTTCTCTAAATCCGTGTTTTTTTCTATGATTTTCCCCCAAACAAGAAATCCTGTGCCAAGTTCAGATTTTGTTGGTGTTGTACATCTTTCCTCTGAGTAAAAGAAACTGAAATTGCAAATGCCTTTATGCTTAAATTATGTAGTATTTAACTGTTTTGGGATATGGGTTGTTATGGCAACGTGAAATTTTATACTAGAGGTACTCAAGTGACAAATATTTAACTTCTCCTTTTGAGGTCTCCTCCTAGGATTAGGAATTAATGTAAAATAAAAGGTGGGGGAGAAGTCAACCAAGCTGGAATTTTTTACTATCTTAACCGCAGACGTTTGGTTTAATAATCAGAATTGACCGGGCAGGACAAGGACACCTCAGCAAGGGAAGTCGAAGAGCTAACTCTTCCCAGATTGTTTTTCTTCTTCTTTTCCGCTTATTCCCACCTCTCTCCCCCTCCTCCTTTACTGCCTCTAAACTCTTGCTCTGGCCAGCTGGTAATTTGAAACAATGTTTTATTTAGATAATTGATTATTCTTGGATATGTGTGGTAATCTTACCCCTTGGGCTAATATTGAAGTTACCCTAATTTATATGTTATCTGGTATAAATCTAAGCAGTCTTTAACAAAATGATGCATTATGTGTTTAACAGACATAGCTTAAGAACTGTTCTGTACTTAATAAATCAGACAAATGTAGGTTTAATAGAGGTGAACTGGCTTTCTTACTGCAGAACTTTTAATGCACTACTATGCCTTGTAAATCTCCTAGGAGTGAAATTCGAATATGCTGCTTTCCTTTTCCTTTTTTCCTTTCTCTTCCGCTGCGTTCCTTCCCCCTTCTCTCTTTTCTTTTGTACTGTATTAAATAACATCTCTCTAAACAGTGTTTCTTTTGGGAAATGTTGAAAATGAGAAAAGATGCATATAACAATATTTCCCCCTAGTCTGAAATCAGTGGGAAGTAATTTACTTCCCCTTTTATTGAAAAGATTTTAGATGAGGGTAGATTCCCATATTTGGTGTAAGGAAATGCTTAGAGCTAAGTGTTCTGATATATAGTGATTTAAAAAAAAAAAAAGACTTATTCCATTGTCTTCTCTACTATCAACTTTTTTATTCATATGTATATATATATATATTCTCCAGTTTTCCTGTTTTATATACATTTTCTTCCCAAAGAAACTTCAAATATTCATCTCTTAGTTCTATGTCGATCTCTCAGTCAACCTTATTTATGTGTTGATATTCGATAAAAAAAGAAGCGTTTGTCTTCCCAACATTGTCCTTATTGTCTATTCAGTTCAAAGAATTAAAAAGAGAGTACGTAGAGGAAAGTTTCACAGTAACTTAGAGGAAAGAGTATCAATCCCATTCCCCCTTTTCAGCAACTTTTGACTTCTTCCTTCATACTGCCTTTCTTTTTCCTGCTTCCTTTTTTTTCTTTATTGAGGCAAAAATTATATAACATTAGTCATTTTATTTTATTTATTTTTTAAAGATTTTATTCATTTCAGACACAGAGATACAGAGAGAGAGAGAGCGAGAGACCATGAGCAGGGGGAGAGGCAGAGGGAGAGGGAGAAGCGGGCTCCACGCTGAGCCAGGAGCCCAATGTGGGGCTCGATCCCAGGACTCTGGGATCATGACCTGAACGGAAGGCAGACACTTAACCATCTGAGCCACCCAGGAGCCCCAGATTAGTCATTTTAAAGTGAACAATTCAGTGACATTTAGTACCTTCCCAATATTTTGTAACCACCACCTCTCTCAAGTCCCAAAACATTATTATCACCCCAAAAGAAAACCCTATACCCGTTGGTTGCCTCCCACTTCTTTTGTTAGTCTTATTTCCTTAAATAGCAAAGCCTTGATGGATTTGACAGTCTTTATAGTATCTGCACCAATCTAGTTTGTGATATTTTAATAACGGTAACATTTGTACATTTATTTACATACATGTGTTGCTGCTGTATAAGCAGTTTACATGTGTCATTTTATTAAAGATCTCTACAGTTAACCTGTCCCCATTTCATATATGGTTGAAAAGAAGGTAACTTCCCCAAGTGCTGCAGCTGGGAAGTAGTGAGCTGAGGGTCGAGTCCAGTCTGTCAGATTCCAAAGCTGATTTTCTTAGTAGCCATATCTATCAGAGGACGAAATGTTTTACCACATACATATATACACCAGAGGTATATACCCTATATAGGCATATTTCAGAAAATTTATTTAGGATCTGAGTTTCCAGATTGAAGAGAGCTATATAGTGCCAAGCACAAGGAATGAAAACAGGCCAATGCCAGGCAGTTATTATGAAATTTCTTTAAGAACACCAGAAGTAATGAGAATGTCTCAAAAGCTTTCGGGATCACTTAGGCGGGATTAAGAATATAAACGACATCTAACTTCTCAGCATCTAAGAATTAAAGATGGAAGATGGAGGAACAGTGTTTTACAAGTTCTGCGTTCAGCCTAGAGTTCTGTATCCAGCCAAACCATCAGTCAAGTGGAAGAAGAGGAAAGAAAGACCTTCAAGGACAACAAAAAAATATG